AAATACTCTGGCAGGGATTTATTTGGTTTATTTATTCGAAGGTAAACACATGTAGATGCCGGGGAGTATAAGGATTGAGGTGCTCACTTAAATGGTTCCCCGATTTTATTTTAACGTCTGGGCGCCAATTAATAGAATAATGATAATAAGCGAATTGCCGTCGGCAAACGGCGGCTTTTCTTGTGTTCTTGGGTGGTGCAGTTGAATTTAACTCGACAGGTCTACTGCTGGCTGCTGGCCGGCTGGCCGAAGAGTTTTCGAAGATGAATTAGGAATTTTATGTTGGAAGGGTGACTGCCTTTGGCCTAGGGACTCAGACAGCTCAATAACAAGGTTTTAACAACAGATTATCGGAGTTAAGTTTATGTGAACAGTGGCTCTTTATTCTTTGAATGTCAAATCAGAACTGAACTTAAAGCTAACATAAATTAAACTCATAGCGGCCACTCCAATGGGTAGTGCTTGCCGGCTATGCACGGGCTTCCGGCCAGACGCTGTGTCAGCAATTTGGCCGGAGCGAGCTGTCGGACGATCGGTCATTGCCGTCGCCCAATTACAATTTAGAGTTGACATTTGCAACTGTGCCACCACTTTATTTCAGCACTGTAGCTGCAAAAGGAACGATCGAAAAATGTATTTGAAAATCGACAAAGCTTTAATGTTTTTTAAACATAAACGCATACAAATCGAAATAAAGTCGTTTTATAATATATAAATTAGATTTTTCACTGTGCGACATATTAAAAAAAAAGCGATTTTTTATTTTAATATACAGTGGAGTTTTATTGGTAATGTCTTAATAGTTAGATTCCCAAAATTGAACTGTCTTTACAATTGCATTATTCTTATAACTATGGCTTTTATCGGTGACAGCGACGCTAGCAGCGAAAATGGACTTCGATCAGAAGATTTCGATTGGTCGATTTGGTGGCCTGATGGGTGGGTTGTCAGGCTGCATCTTTTGTTTATTACATTTGGATTGGTCAAAGCTTATGCTGATGAATGGGTTCTCATGCTGAACCCTTTGTTTAAAAGTTTACCTCTTGTTTATGTCTGCTGTCGTCGGTAAAGGCGTGTGAAATGTTTATAATAAGGGGACTGTTGATAACAGGCGTGGGAAATGTTTATGTCTAACGGGAAATGTTTATGTCTGATTAATTTGAATAACTCCTATAGTAGGCTCTGAAATGTTATGTTTGACAAATGAATTAATGGGTATCTCAGGATATACAGGTTGGGTGTTATGTTTGACAAATGAAGTAATGGGTATCTCGGGATATACAGGCTGGGTCACTCGCCCCTCCTTTAGAACATTCAACATCCTTGTTGAATCTAACAAAAATTTCTTTTTTGTTGGCTAGGCGCCTGTAGGTAAATATGATGTAAGTAGTGATAGTTATACTATATACTATAATTATTAAAATTGTGAATACAATCAACTTGTAAACTGTTTCTTGCTTTTCTTGATAACTAATTGATTTCTTAATTTTTAACAATGGAATTGGTTCATATAATGCTGCATTCGTGCTAGATAATATAATTTTATATTCGTTTATAATCTTTGAAGTAGTAAATTTTATGTTTCTTATTTCTAAAGTGCATTGACTTAATTGTATTATGTTGTTTCCCTGTATTGTTTTGTTGAATATTTCACAATCTTGTTTAATTTGTGTTTTGCTTAAATTATAAGTTATAATGATGTTCGGTTCAATATATTTTATAGATTCATTTTCTGATATAAACGTGTGTTGACAATTCGCTAGTTGATTAGTAAGAATTTGAGAAATACATTGATCAGTGATTATAAATTTTTGGTCAAAACTTGGTGTGTTTTCTAAATAAAAAACAATGTTTTTATCAGTTACAAAATATTCAAAATTATCATTTATGTCAATTTGTCGGCCTATATTATCTGGGTATTTTATAATTCTATATTTTTGGGTTTCCTTAAATGAAGTTGGTATATAAACTAAAATAAAAGTGTCTTTAGTCTGGCTACTTATCCAAGCTGATGTTTTGATTGCTAAAAGTTTTTCTTCGTCTATATCATCCAACTCTTCATGTTTAAATATTTTAGGATTGAATATTCATATTTTTGTTAATTGTAATCCCATTTGTAAATCTTCAATATGCTCAAGGAAAATGTTTAATGAATATCTAAAAATGTGTAATGCATCCATTTCTTCTTCATCTTTCACAAGTCTTTTTATGTCTTCGGATTGTTTATTTATTACTTACATTAAAATCTTTATTTTCAATTACTTGATCTTGTAAATTTTCTAATTTATCTTCTAGCTCTTTTTTATCGTCTTCTGTTAATGTTCCAAATAAGTATTTATAAGCAGTTCCTACAATATTAAATAATCCTCGTTTTTGTCTTTGTGTAGAAATAATTCCCTTGATTTCATGTTTTAGTTGTTTTAGTGCTAAGGCAATATCTGGTACGTAATTAAACTTGTTTTCGTATTTCATAAAGTCCTGGTATGTTTCTAATATTTTTGTTTGATTAATCTGTATCATATGATGTTCGTAACTGAAAGGTATTTTTACAATCCCTGTGTTCAGAAGTAAATAACCGTTATTTGAAGTGATAGGTGTAATACTAATTTGTTGAGCTGTTGTCAATGTTACATTCGTCCACGTCATTATCAAGATCATTTTCAAGATCAGAGTCAGTACTGTCAGATTCCATGGTATGATTAGAGAGATTTTGCGCTTTAGCTTTTTTAAATTTACTTATGTGCTTTATTACTTTATGACCCCTATTAGTTTCTTGCCAATGCTTTTCGTCTTTCTGTTCTAATGCTCCTGTCTTTTTGAATGGGTTTACTAATTTCGCTTTACGTTTCATGTCTTTTTCATCTTTGGTATATCTAAGATCTACTTCATGTTCCTCACGATTTTTATTAATTTTATCTATTTTATGTTCTTTTTGTTTTTGCATATTTTTACTCGGTTCCATACCATAAAGAAAGATTTGAGCAGGGGTTTTACCAGTGGCATCATGGGTTATTTCGTGATTATAGACATATTTTTACTCGGTTCCATACCATAAAGAAAGATTTGAGCAGGGGTTTTACCAGTGGCATCATGGGTTATTTCGTGATTATAGACATAAGTTGCTTTTTCTATATTCATTAATTTGTCTTCAGCATCTGAGAGTGTATTTATGATTCTAAGTTTTTCGTTAATTGTTTTATGAACCCTTTCTATGTCAGCTATACCGTTTTTACTACTAGTGATTTCAATATTGATATTTTCTTTCTGTAGCCAGTTTTGTAAAGATTTCGATACTAGGCTGGGATCTTGATCCATTTTAATAGTTTTCGGTTTACCTATCATATTAAAAAATTTGAGTAATGCTTTTTTACTTTCAATCCAGTCTGTGGTTTTTGTTTCTATGATAGAAATGAATTTTGAATGAATGTCAATACATGTCAAAAATTTACGTTGGTCAATAAAATAATAGTCAATAACATATTTGTCACGAATATTTTGAGTTTCAGGAGTCTTTTCAAAAGGGAGTGCAACTTTTCTGTGCTCTGCTTTGCATAAATTACAGGCCTCGCATTTATTTATTATGTTTTGAATAAGTTTTTGTGCGTCTGGGAAATAGTATTTAGTTTTAAAATCGTCATAATGCCTTGGTGTATCGTCTTTTCGTGTATTTCTAATATTTTTTCGTGGAAGTCTGCATATGTAGACAAGTTGGGAAGTATTACTGAAGTTTTCATTAATTTTGTACCAGTGTTTGGTTTAATTAAGTCCATATAGGCTCGTTGAAAGATAGCAAAGTCTTCGTCATTATTAATAAACATAACAAAATTGTGTCCACATATGAATTTTATAATTATATTTTTTGCTAAACGGTCAGTCATGTCACTGTAAATTATTTTATTAATAGTTTTGTTAAAGTAGTGAGTAAGTTCGTTAGTGTCTTTATTTCCTTTTTCAAATATTAGTTGGTGATTAAAAACGTTAATAGGTCGTTCAGTGATCTGTATGCAATTGCCATTATCTTCTTGTGCACTATGCACTGTTGCTGCAGTAGTTTCTAATTCATCATCATTTTGAAAAACTTCTTCAAATTTTTTATCTTTAGTTTCCTTTTTTGTAATTCTTGATAAAGCATCTGCTACGTGGTTCTCTTTTCCTTTAATGTATTTTATTTCATAATCAAACTCTCTAAGTTTAATTTTCCAACGTTGTAGCTTCATATTAGGTTCTTTTATATTATGTAACCAAACAAGTGGTTTATGGTCTGAGCATATTTTAAAACATAATAACAGGCGTGGGAAATGTTTATGTCTAACGGGAAATGTTTATGTCTGATTAATTTGAATAACTCCTATAGTAGGCTCTGAAATGTTATGTTTGACAAATGAATTAATGGGTATCTCAGGATATACAGGTTGGGTGTTATGTTTGACAAATGAAGTAATGGGTATCTCGGGATATACAGGCTGGGTGTTAGGCTTGATGTCTGGAGTATTTGGTAATACGTCACTTATATAATTTATATTGTTACTTCAAGGGTATTTAAACTTCTGCTTGCCTAACTTTGCTTTATTTCTTGTTTAAGAATGTTTTTATATCATTTCGAACCCATCCGCTATATATTCGTGTTGTGCACGCTGATCACGTTCAACAATTTTCGGAATGACTGCACTCTAAATCTCTAATAAAACTCTCTATCTTTAACTTGAATACTACGAGTACAGGAATTTATTAAATCAAGTGGATTGGACCACTTTTATAAGAATGATGAATAATGCACGTCCATACCATGCTAGAAACATTATCGGATAAGTGGCTCGTTGGTCACGGATGGTAACACAAGATGATAGAGACGATTTTAATAGAAAACTGTGTTTTTTTTTAGTCCATTGAACCAACACAAATCGTTTGATTTTAAGTACTTCACTGAAACGAATGAATTAAGAATTACCTTACGTGTTTCACTGAAACTTGGTTATCCATATTTGAAAATTTTATTTAAAGCAGCAGGATGAAGCTTGCGACTATTTTGTTCAGCATTATTTTAAAAGCTGGTAAAGTTTGCTAAAAACAGTGAAGAACAGGAAAACATATATTTAATTTTATTGAAGGTTTGGTAGAATGCGGCCTAAAAAGTCATGCAGAACTAATTCGCCAAGCAATAAAGGTGGATAACAAGATAAAGGATCTTGTCCGTAAAGTTACAGGATTTGCAAAAGGCAACTCGGAATTCAAGGAAAGTTACGAGAACTTGAGGATTCCGTTAATGGAAAATTATACAAGCCTGCATAGCAAATTGGAGCATATACGAGAATTTGAAGTTTACAACAGAGAACGACTTCGGTTGGAGCAAAGTATTATTTTGACCATTTCTAAATTAAATATCCCAACGTCTGAAAGCTGCAAAAAGTTTTATAAGAGTCTTCGAAAGAATTTAGTTTCGAAGCTAACAGATACCAATATAAAAAAGCATGAGGCCATACAGAATGTGAAAAACATGTAAGTAGCAAATAGGTTAGAAAAATACACGAGATTGCAGATATCCCCACAAATAGAAGTCCGCTGGCTTCCAATCTGGAGATCTAGGCAGCCAGTCGTAATCACTACTTTGCAATTTGAGGCGTACGGCGAACAGAGGCTGCAATTAATCGATTGTTAAACGGGAAGTATGACGTGTAAAGCCGTTCTGATGATACCTGTAGTATTCCATTCCCTATTCCCAAAAAATTGGTCACACAAAATTCGTTGTTATGGCTCAAGCTTGATTTTGGTTCGTAAAAATATGGTCACCCCATCAAATGAACATAGGAGAGTGTTTTGTAGGTAGAGGAGCGGAAGGTGCGACACAAACAGTACAACATTGACAAGTTTCGACATGCATGTGCGGTAGGGCCCGAACGTAATTTCTTTTTGATCATTTCTTATTAAAAATGCCAAGAGAAATATGTGTCTAAAAAACCGTTTAAAAATCCCCATTTGCAAATAAAAATACTGTTTTTTCGAATTTGTCGTATTTATTATTATACCTTTATTAGCAGCTAATAGCCTATTCAGACTTTTGTGCTTCAACGACCAAATACCGAATCAGCGAGGTCTCTATAATCACGTTTGTCTCACACATTGGCAAAAGAAAAATACAGTTTTATTTGGGTAAAATTATCTATACATCTGTTATAAAAATAATCCAAAATGGCAAAGACCGTCACGATTAATACTTTTTGATCAAAACTCGGAATTAATCGTTATGAGAAAATAATTATTAATTATGATTTGTATTTGTGTGGACCTGATTGCACTTTCAGATTTTTATTTTGACAGATGAAAAGAACCTAATTTTTTTTCAGATTTTTATTCGACAGATGAAAAGATAATTGTTTTTGGAGATTTTTATTTTGACTGATCTCAAATAATCGATAGAAGGGATATTTAATTTCACCAAATCCCAAATAATCATTATTTGCTCTTGTCTCATTAGCTTGCAGGCGATCGTTTGGAAATTTGGTAAAGACCACCTCTGCAAGTTGGTATACGAAGTGTATAAAAATCAGGAAGAATGGACCAGTTATTATAGTCGGAACGAGTCGGATCGGACGACAATAGCATAGGAATAATCGGCGAAACAGGCGAACAAATTATATCTTTGCTATTTTTAAATTTTGTTTTTAGTAATTCGAGATATAGTAATTGTTTATTATTTCTGAATTATGCTTCAATTTTATTAAAATCGGAAGACTATATCATAAAGCTCCCATGGAAACAGTCGGAATATTAAAAACAAGAGAGAACGCTATAGTCAAGTTTTCTGACTATTAGATACCAGTTACTCTGCCAACAAACTTCAAACTAAGTATTCCCCCTACAAAACATTTGGCATTCAATAATTCATAAGAATAATTTTTAAGAAAAACTTTTATTTTATCTAAATAGTAAAACGTTGTGACAATTGTGCTTTCTTAGCCGAGCGAGCGAGATTAGAGAAGCGATCCTTTTGTCATCTTGCCTTACGTTATATTTAAATTCTATTATGTTCCGCTAGAGGGATAATATGGCGGGCCACAGTACTCCCGCTCTAGTGAGGACGTTACAAGTGGATTCATTTGTCTAGAATATGTGCGCATACTTAGCGCTGGATCTGTTGAATCCATGTATTCCTCATTCATAGTTAAATAAGCTGTCTTCAGACGATCCACGGATTCTGCCGTCTCTTTGTTGTTGACTTTGTGTCATTGTCCGTGTGTTATTTATGACTTCAGAAGGTCCAGTATAAGGGGGTTCAAAACGTTGTTTAACCGCATCTGTACGGATAAAAAATAGGAGCACTTATCGATTCTTTTCAGCCTAAAAATCGATGCGTCGATGCGAGCTTACCACCGTTTGATTTTCGCATTCGGATTAGACTTCGATACTGCGAAATTAAATGGCTGGTAATAAGTAATAACTTTTGGAAAGCAAGTCGTTGCTGCTCACTAAATTGCACCTGGATATTTTTGGATCTGTGCCTATTGACACTTCCATGCTCCCCTTTCATAATGTTGGAGACGGGCCTAGCTATTGACGCAAAATCTTTAATAAAGCATAGGTAATAGCTGGCCAGGTCAAGGAACGAATATATTTTTGGGTTCGGGGAATTCCCGAAGGGCCTTGATTTTTTCTGGGTCGGTAGTGTCACCGTTGTTGTAGACAATAAAGCCCAAAAAGCTAACGTTTTTTTTTTTTAAAAACCACGATTTTTGCGTTGACACCCTCATGTTGGCGTCGAGCAGCCTTCTAAGAACCCAATCTAAGTGCCGTATGTGGGCGTTTTCGTCCTCTAAAAAAACGATGACATCATCAACATAGACTGCTCCAGCAGTATGTCGTCGATGGTTCTTTGAAAGAAGCTGACAGCATTCTTTAATCCGAATGGCAGTCGGCGAAACTCGTACTTTCCTGTATTAACGGAAGAGGAGGTTTTTTCACGCTCTGCCAGTGTGATCTGGTGGTAGCCAGACTTCAAATAGAGCGTTGTGAAGTACTTGGCTTTGTCTAAATTCCCTAGTATCATAGAGATATTTGGCATCAGCTATTGTCCTCTCGTTCAATTTGCGAAATTCCAATACCAGCCGCATTTTCCGGTTGCCCGCTTCGTCATTGCCCTTTTTATCTACTACCCATATTGGGTTATTGCAGGGGGACTTAGACTTTTGGATTCTGCTTTTTTTTAGCAACCCTTGGATTTCGTTGTTGACGAAATCTGCTGCTCCCGTCGGATATGGGTAAAGCTTGGCATAAATGGGCTCCTCACTAACAGTTCTGATAGTAGCTACCACCGACGTGTTATAAGGTAGGGCTTCATTAGGGTTTGCGAATGCTTTTTCCTTTCCATTTTTATAAAGGCATCCGTAGTTAGAGGCGGTTCGAGCAATCAATGTTGGTAAAATTGACATCGATGGAAGTTCTAGCTTTTCTACTTCGGAGCCCCATTTGAGGTGGCCGGAAGCTAAACAAAGTGATGCCCCAGGTCAAGTCCGATGATGGCATCAAAGGAGGACAAATCTGGTAAAATATAGAACCTTCAAGATGAAGAGGGAAATAAAGCATTTCTAAGTGATGGTGGTGACGCCATGGATGGAATGTATCGTAAATGGCGATTCTACTCGTATGGACGGATGGAATTTTTTTAAAAAAGCTTCGTCTGATGACGGGTAGCATGGATTTTCCCCTTAAAAATTAATAACGTCCGAATCATATTCATGAATGGCATCGTCATTAATTTCCTGAGCACCGCTCGAGGCTGCGACGGTGTACTTCCCCTCGGTTTCGCCTGCGGTCTGCGCGACCGCCGGTCCTGTTTTGGTATGCCGGCTTAAGCATCTTGGACACCGATGGGTCGATATCCATGGGCTCGGGAGTATTTTCACGAAGCCTCTCACTGCTTGGAGCAGAGTGTACTTGAACTTTTTGCTGCTTTGTGTAGTATGGATTTTTGCCAGATCCAGTTTCTTGTACCCCCTTGAACTTGGGCAGACACTTGACCGCGTCCAGCGGCTCGCGTCACTCCACGTTGCCTACAATATGGACGGGCTCGTAGATCCGTATCTGAGGGGCTTCGGCAGTGGTGGGCGCCATCTGTGCCGCCGCCAACTGGCCGGCCAGATTTTCTGCGCAGGTCTTCGGCAGCTTTTTCCCTTAAGGCATTTTTAATAAGAGCCTGTTCTGCGCCTAAGGTCATATTTGCACTTGTATGGGCACTAGTGGCTGCTCGTGTAGTTGTGGAAACAATAAGAAGCCTCTCACTGTCCGACTCTCAGTCGCTATCTAGTATATTATTCCTATAAGTTAAAAATGGGGAGCTCATGGATAGCTATGCTAAGTTCCACCAACAAAGAGTTGCATGCCTAAGCAGCCTTATATAAACAAAATTGCTATGGCCAAGGGATCGTGGCGCCTTAACTGCCGCTATGGTATACAAAGAAAAGAAGCTAAACAGAATTGGAATGTAAATGTCGCGGTGTCGGGTTCGAGTACCCGCGTGGAGTGGGGAACCAATAAAAAAGCGCAAAGATTGTTGCGAGGCTACTACAAATAATTTTAGGAAAAAGCAAAAAATACAACGACACAATAATGCTGAATTAAATGCCTATAATTTGATGAGACAGTTCCGTCGCCAATATAATTATATAAATAAATTCACAATTAATTAGTTTCCCAGTGGCTCCCTTGTGGTTAAGCCGAGATATTTAATATTTGTATTTTATTTATAATCGAAATGTATGAGATATTCAGAACTGGTTGATATATATTTTTATTTTTAGCAATTAAAAATGCAAACAACACACAGAAACAAATATAATAATGGCACATAAAATTCAACAATTTAAAAAGAAACAACACTTAATTATGGAAGCGGAGCTGCAGAAAATACTCTGGCAGGGATTTATTTGGTTTATTTATTCGAAGGTAAACACATGTAGATGCCGGGGAGTATAAGGATTGAGGTGCTCACTTACATGGTTCCCCGATTTTATTTTAACGTCTGGGCGCCAATTTATAGAATAATGATAATAAGCGAATTGCCGTCGGCAAACGGCGGCTTTTCTTGTGTTCTTGGGTGGTGCAGTTGAATTTAACTCGACAGGTCTACTGCTGGCTGCTAGACGGCTGGCCGAAGAGTTTTCAAAGATGAATTAGGAATTTTATGTTGGAAGGGTGACTGCCTTTCTTTACCTGCTGGCCTAGGGACTCAGACAGTTCAATAACAAGGTTTTAACAACAGATTGTCGGAGTTAAGTTTATGTGAACAGTGGCTCTTTATTCTTTGAATGTCAAATCAGAACTGAACTTAAAGCTAACATAAATTAAACTCATAGCGGCCACTCCAATGGGTAGTGCTTGCCGGCTATGCACGGGCTTCCGGCTGTGTCAGCAATTTGGCCGGAGCGAGCTGTCGGACGATCGGTCATTGCCGTCGCCCAATTACAATTTAGAGTTGACATTTGCAACTGTGCCACCACTTTATT